AGGGGCTGGCGTCACCCTCGGCTTGCTCCCACAGAGAAATTTAACACCTACGTGACACTGAAGGTGCAAAATGTCAAGAGCACGACCATCGCGGTGCGGGGCAACCTGCCGTCCTGGGAGCAGGACTTCATGTTGTGAGTGTGCTGGGGCCATGAGCCCCCCCCAACCCTTCTTCACCCATCAGGGATCCCAGGGTGCCCCATCTCTGGGTGCTTGCCAGCTAACACAGGCCTGAAGGGCTCAGCTCCCTGCCCAGCCTGCCTTTGCTCCCCTGCTTTTGGGAGGGAGAATTGCTTGCCCTGCGAGGGACATGGGAGTGTGTCTGCTCCAGGACCCCCTTTGCTCTCTGTGCTCCCCTTTTCCTCTGAGCAAGGGCAGCAGGCCTGTGGGGGAATCCGCTAAGAGGGACGGGAGCAGTCCGGGTGATGTGACAGGTGTTAGGTCATCTTGGGCTCCTGCATTCACCGACACGGGGCGTCAATGGGACCCGAAAGCACCCATCCCGAGACAAGCGGGAGATCCCGGAGCCCACAGGAGGCTGAGTGTGGGCTGAGGACTGGGGGAGAATGGGGCAGGAGGGGGTTCCCTGGAGGTGCACTGGGCCAGGGGGTGACCACGCACCTTTCCACCTTTCCTGGCAGCGAGATCAACCGACTGGACCTGGGCCTGACGGTGGAGGTGTGGAACAAGGGGCTCATTTGGGACACCATGGTGGGGACAGTGTGGATCCCCCTCCGGACCATCCGGCAGTCCAATGAGGTAGGAAGCAGGGTGGTCCCCAGGCTGTCCCCTCCTGGGACCACCAGCCCTGGCTGCCTTTCAGAGATGGAGGAGCCCTGTGCTTTGGGGTGGCCATAGAGGCAAAGACCCCATCCCCAGGGCTGGGGGGGGAGTGGAGGAAAGGAGGGGCCAGGGCAGCCCCCTTCGGGCACAGGCTGTGGCTAGCTGCACCCCAGCCAGAGGGACTCGTGTGCTGGTGGCAAGCCCGGCCTGGCCAGATGCCTGGGTTCCTCTTGGCCGCCCCTCTCTGGGCTGGCGATGCTGGCTGGCCTCAGCGTGGACAGGGTGGGAAGGCCCCCTGGCAGCAATCCTGAGCCCCTGCTTGCACTCCTGCAGGAGGGTCCCGGGGAATGGCTCACGCTCGACTCCCAGGTCATCATGACAGACAATGAGATTTCAGGCACCAAGGACCCCACCTTCCACCGCATCCTCCTTGACACCCGCTTTGAGCTCCCACTGGGTAGGTACCGGTGCCTGGACCCCCACTGCCGCCGGGGACTGGGGCTGCACCTTTTCTTTCCTCTCCCCAACCTCGGGGTGCTGCAGTGGGGCTCCCCGTGGGTCAGAGCCAGGGCTGGGCCAGGGCACCCAGCCAGTGCTCAGGTGACAGGTCTGAGCCTGTGGCCCTGAGCTGGGAGGGATGTGTTGGGGGAATCTGCCCTACAGTTGGGGGGCCTTTTCCCTTTCAGATATCCCTGAGGAGGAGGCCAGGTATTGGGCCAAGAAGCTGGAGCAGCTCAACGCGATGCGGGACCAGGATGATGTGAGTCCCCCCCGGACCTGGCGTCGCGTCCCCAGCAGCAACGCTGCAGAGTCAGGCCAGGGCGAGGGGTGGCATTGCCCTGCCCACGAGCCTCAGGGGTGGCAAGGGGCTGTGCAGGACTGCGAGGCGGATTGGGCCCTGATCCAGCCCCGTCTCTCCCCAGTATGCCTTCCAGGAGGAGCAGGAAAAACCTCTCCCCGTTCATGGATCCCAGTGCTGTAAGTACTCTAGTCGGTCCCTGCTGCCTCTGCCCCATCTTCTTCCCCTTCCCCAGCATCCTGGCATCCAGCTCCATGCAGCTGGGATGTATGGGAACAGGGGGACCCATCCACCACCCTCCTTCCTCCCTCCGGCTCTCTCCTGTGTCCAGCAGGGTTTCTTTGCTCTCTGCCTGCTGCTGTGGTTCCTGGGCCGCTGAGCCATGGGCGGAAGAGGGGGCTGGGTGCCTCAGTTTCTCTTTCTGCAGTCACCGAGGGCTGGGCCCAGCCCCAGGCACTGTCCCCAGCCCAGGCCACCGTCTATCCGCCGAAGGGTGAAGGGAGCCAAGGGCTGTCTCTCTGCTCACACATGGGGCACAATTTGGGGCCAGAGGGAGGGTGTCTCCAGCACCCTGGCAAAGCACTGGAAGCCACCTGCTCTCCTTTGCAGCCATGTGGGCTGGGGCTCTGCGAGGCTCATCCCTGCCCTGTCAGTCCCCTCTGCCCCTCTTCCAGCCTCCCCGAGCATCCCTGCCCTCTCCCCTTCTCCCTCCTGCTTCCCCTCCTCTGGGGGCTCCCCATCCTCCTCCCTCGCACCCCACACCTCCGCCACATGCTTTGGTTCGCAGGGCATCCAGCCGAGCCCCAGGGCCCCGCAGACCCCGGGGCAGGGGGGGGGAGTGGATCCTTGGTCTGGGCACTTGGCTCCTGTCCAGCTGTGCCCAGGAGACCCCGGAGACCCCGGGGCAGGGGGTGGGAGTGGATCCTTGGTCTGGGCACTTGGCTCCTGTCCAGCTGTGCCCAGGAGACCCTGGTTTCTCCCAACTGGCTTTCGCTGCTGTCCCAGAGTTGCATCCGTCTTTATTGTCTCTGCCCCTTTTCTTTTTAGGCAACTGGAATTATTTTGGCTGGGGAGAACAGCAGAGTAAGTATCCTGTTGTCTTCTCTCCTCCAAGCCTGGCAATCCCTGGCATGACTCCCTTTTTTTGCCACGCCATGGCCTAAGATGGGGCCATGGGTGGCAAAAGTTCAAGTCTTGCCTCTGACCTTGCCTCCTGTGGCTCTGTGCTGGTCCACGGCACCATGTGTCCCTTTCCTGGGCAGGGCTTTGTCCCCATGGGCTGGCACCTTCCCCTCTGCCCCCCAGCAACCGTCTCCGAGCCATCCTGGCCAGCATCGTCCCACAGAGGTGGGGACACAGCAGTGGCAGCAGCGAGGTTGTCACAGCTGGGGAGCAGGTCTGTCCCGCATCCATCTCACCGCTGCCACCTGGCTCTTTGCAGATGACGACCCCGACAGCACTGTGGATGACCGGGACAGCGATTACCGCAGCGAGACCAGCAATAGCATCCCTCCCCCTTACTACACCACCTCGCAGCCCAATGCCTCAGTGCACCAGTATCCCATGAGGCACCAGCAGCAGAGCTCCCGCGACTCCTACACAGACTCCATGCAGAGCTACGAGATGGACTATTCGGACCAGCGTCCCATCAGGTAGCACGCACACCCAGCCCTCACCCCGGTCCTGTGCTTTACACCCTGCCTGGCAGGCACCCACTGGGGAGGGGAGAGGTCAACGGGGTCCCAGGGGTGACATGAGGGGATGACAGTCCCAGGGTGATGAGTGGAGAAGGGAAGGACGGAGAGGTGAGGAAGAAGGGCAGGAGGGAGACGGCACCGGCGCCCTGGCACACGGCATGTCCCTAATGCCATGTCTGCTGCCCTGCCTCTGGGATTTTTTGGTTGAAAATGCAGATGAGTTTTCATGCTCTTTTGAGTCCCCCCCTCCCTGAGTCCCTGCCTGGGGGACCCTGAACACCAGCTGTCCTTGCCGGGAGGTGGCACGGTTGGGGCTGTAGGCAGAGCTGCAGGCAGGGACACCTGCACGGTGCTTTGTCCCCATGCTTGCAGCGCAGCCCGGCTTCTCCCCGGCCGCTGTAGCCCTTCCCCAGGAGGGAGCCTCCCTCCCGGCAGCCCCAGTGCCCTGCTGGGCTCCTTTGCCCCGCAGGTGCGGAGGAGAGACAGCGCCGAGCCGCGGCGGGTGCGCGGCGCGAACTCCGGGACCTTGCTGACCATATTCCTCTCCTCCCCGGCAGACGCTACGGTAGCGTAGACTCTGCCACAAACGGGCGCAGCGACGCTGAGTCCGCTTCCGAATCGAGCAGGCGGACCAGCCGCCAGCACTCCCTTGAGAGCAGGCGGTCCCTAGACCTATCTGATAGGTGGGTCTCTACCTCGTCGTGTGCCTTGTGCCGTCGCAGAGTGCTGTGCTCGGTTCTCGCAGCCTTGGTGAGGCCAACACCAGTCTTGGCAAGGGCAGCCTCGCTCCGCCGCTCCCTCTCCCCTCCTGGCACTGCCTCGCTGCAGGGTGACGGGTGGTCTCATCCCCCCTTGAGGCTTTTTTGCCCTTTGCACCGGTCCCAAGGTTGCGGGGAAACTTCCTCCGTGTCCCAGCCCCATTCCCTGCTAGCCAGCTCGGACCATCCGAGCCCATGCCTGGATTGCAAAGCAGCAGCTGATTCTCCATCCTGGATGGGGCGGTTATGCGAGGCCGGCCTGCACCAGCCTCCCCTCCTGCAGCTGGGGCTGCAAGGTGCCTTGGGGACTCTGCCAGTGTAGGCAAATGCTGCCTTCCATTTCTGGTCACCTCCCAGGGCTCTGAAGTGCCTCAGCAGGGAGCTCCCTAGCCTGACAGGGCAAGAGTCCTGAGTGGTGATTGAGACCCCCTTGGCTTGCCAAGGGCCCCTGGTCTGAGCTGAGGCCAGGACCAGGCTGGGGAGGTGAGAGGTTTCCAGCATGAGCTGTGTCTCCTGCAATTCTGTGCCCTCTCTAGGCCCCTGATGCTCCAGGTACCCCCTTCCTGAGTTACCCCCCCCATCCTGCTGGGTCCTACCTGCACCCGTCCTTGCTGAGTTTGGATAGCCTCCAGCACCGTCCTTCCCCACGGCGTGTCCCAAGCCCTCCCACTGGTTCCCTGCGCCCAGCACGGCCTTGCCGGCCCCGAGCTCTGCCCGGTGCCATCCCATCCTCCCTCCCCCTCCCCTGAGCCCCGGCTGCCAGTGCTGGAGATGTGGTGTCGGCCTCTTCCTAGGCATGTCCCTGTACTGTCTGCATGTGTGCTTATGTAAGCCTCTCCCCTCGGAGCCCCGCGGTCGCTGTGCCACTCGGAGATGCACACCCCATCCCTGCAGGGGTGAGGAGCTGCCCTGCCCTGCCCGGCTCCAGGGTCCCGCAGCTGCAGCCAGCTGCAAGAGGGGGATGCCAGCAAGGAGGCGGGCAGGGGAGCTGGGGGCAGCTGCTGAGACATGGGCACAGGCAGGAGGAGGGAGCAGGATAAGGAGGGATACACAGAGAGAAAGAGAGGCCTGGGAGTGCGGACGGTGGGAAAGGGGCTAGTAGGGAAATTGGAGAAGTAGAAGAGAGGCTAGTGTGTGGCAGGAGGAGAAGAGAGGGGTAGGAGAGATGTAGTTATGGGGAGTGATGGCGTGGAAGGGAGAAGAGGGGAGTGAAGGGGCACGTGGAGGTGGAGAGGGGGTACGGGGTGTGCTGAGATGTCAGGGATCGGGTTGGGTGACAGATTTGTGGGACGGGTGACAGGAGGGGCAGGACAGGTGGTATGGCAGAAGCACCAGGCAGGATGGGTCCAGCTGGGGGTACAGATCTGGCCACACTCTGCCCCTACACCTGGCAGCAGGTGAGCCGAGGGGGCAGACACCCGTCCTGGGTGTCAGCGGGGGGCACCGACAGACAGGTCAGACGCCTGAGATTGCTGCAGCCTGGGGGGCCAGTCCCTGCCCAGAAGGTCTCCGGGGTCTGCACCTTCGATTCCCTCTGCCGTGCTCCCAGGACTAATTGGGATCCCAGCACCCACCAGTACCTCTTTGCCCCCTGACGCTGCTTCCCAGCCCCTCTCCTCCTGCCGCGATGCTGAGGGCCCCAGGGCGCTGGGGCAGAGGCGCTGGGCCCCGGGTAAGCCCTGTCCCTGTCCCTGGGCCCCCACGCCCCCGGGGGGACCAGCCGGTATGCCTCATCTGCAGAGCTGAGCCAGGGCAGCTCACAGCTGAGCGAGGACTTCGAGAACGAGAGCCTGCGGGACTCAGAGCTGGACGAGCGGGACGGCGATTCCTACCACTCCTGCCACAGCTCCGTCAGCTACCGCAAGGACTCGCCCCACTGGGAGGAGGAAGAGGATGATGATCTCTACCTGGAGGAGGAGGAGGAGGAGGAGGAAGAGTTCAATGAGGACTACAGCGAGAACGAGGAAGGCTATGCCAAGGAGGAAGAGGAGGAGGAGGACCTGCAGGGCCAGGGGGCCTATGAACCCCAAGCCCAGGAGCACGACACCTACCCGCTGCCGCAGAAACCACCTGGGCAGCAACAGCAGCAGCAGCTCCCACAGCAGCAGCAACAACCGCAACAACCACAACTGGTCCCGCAGCCCAAGCCGCAGCAGCAGGAGAGGAAGGAGGAGAGGAAGGAGGAGAAAGAAGCGTTGGCCCCCCAAGAAACTCTGGAATCCCTCCAGGCCCCGCAGGGAGTGGATGAAGTCCCTGTAGCGGAGACAGCACAGGAGCCCGAGCCCCTGAAAGCAGCCGAGAGGTAGGAGGGACCAGGAGGGAGAGCAGGTCCTGATGGCACTGTGGCAGGTGGCACCAAGGACACTGGGGGTGGATGAAGATGGGGATGTCACCAGGGCTGGAGCTCATGCCACTGGTGCCACGGGGCGTTATCGGACACCTTCTGCTGTGTCTCGCATGCCGGGTACCATCCCGAGCCTGCGATTTGGAGTGCAGCTCCAGCTTGGAGCCACTGTCTGGGTACCAACACGTGATCAAAGCAGGAAATTTCCTTCATAGGAACTGATTTTCTCCCCGAGCCACTGGTAGAAGCCTGTCCACAGACTCCTGCACTGTACGGATGAATTATTTGGTGGCTGTGTCCCCAGTACAGCATGTGAATTATTCAAATGTCAGTCTTTGCCTTTAATTATTGAACATGTCCATTTTTCCATGGTTCGGTGAGCACAATTGCTCTGCACAGAGAGGAAGCATGATGGGCTTTTTTGGGCTTTTATTTGGTTTAAATTATAGACTGGAGTGGGAACCTCTGATTTAAAAGAACACACAATGAGCTTTTTTCCAAAAAAACCCCACATATTTAGGATGGGGCCCAAAGACTGGCTACAGTCCTCGCAAAGGTGGCCTCGCTTTGTGTCTGGTGAGGATGCCTGTTCTCCAGGCATGCTGCTAGGTGGTCCCGTGGCGGGGGCTGAGGACCACAGATGAATGCTGAGGACCACAGATTAATATATTCAAGGCCCCTCAGGGCTGGTTTGGACATTTCTGCTTAAATGGCAATAGAGAGGGGAGAATCTGGTCTCCCAAGCTCTCCGTGGCCTCTTCGCAGCCAGACCCTGGATACCGATCTCCTGTCTCACGTCTCACCAGGCTCTCCAGGAGACCAGGACATGTGAAGGCTCTCTCTTGTTTCCTCCATGTCTCACTTTTTTCCAAAAAGGAGGAAAAAAACCCCCAATATCCTGTCTGGAGGGCCATCCCTGGGCCATCTCATTTCCCGGCCTGGATATGTCTCCCGGTGGTGCCCCCCAGTGACCGGGCTGTGTGTGGTTGCAGGGAGCAGGAGGAGGCGGAGGTCCAGGACCCCAAAGTGCGAGCCAAGGCCAATTGGCTGAGGGCCTTCAACAAGGTTTGCATGCAGCTGCAGGAGGTGAGTCTGCCCCATGGCTGACTGGGGACACCGAGAGGGCTTGGGACGGACTAGGGGCACTGGGTGAGCCTAAAACCTGCACCATTCTGTGCCCAGAGAGCTTGGGCATCTTGCAGACATGGCCAGTCCCTGATCCCATGTAAATCTGATGTCCCTTGGGGCAGCGGGGAGCTGTGAGGTGCCCCCAGCTGGCACTGCAGAGGCTGATTGTGCCCTGATGGACCCACGTGAGGGGCCGGGAGTGAGGAGGAGCTTCTACCCCCCGGGTGTGTGCTGCATGCGGTTGCAGTGTGCTGGTGTGACTCCCTCATCCCTGTTCCCATTTATTGAGTTGACCATTTTTTGTTCTGTTTTTAGACTTCATCCTCCATCTTTTCTTTTTGTTTTGGCTCTGGATGCACCCCCCTGGGGCTTCGATTCCCCTCCCTGCCGTTTCTCTTTTCAGTTCTCCACCACCATGGCCCTTGTGTCCGCGTCTCCCCTTCCTGCAGGGAAGGGGTGTAGCCTGCCTGCAGGTAAGCATGCCGGTGGGAAACCGCCCTGCACCGTGTGTGCCTTTCCTACATGCGTGCATGTGTGTGTGCACAGGGGCATCACCTTGCCTCACAAGAGAGGAAAAATTGGCTTTTTTCCTCTCTTCTCTCCCAAAATAACCCCCTCCTTGGGCAAGGGAGCTGAGAGACGGTGCCCACCATGCCCAGGGGTCCGTGCACACACCACGTTCCCCACATGTTGTGGCTTTTTCCCATGCTTCTCTCCATTCCCAGGGGCTCTGGGTCTGCACAGACCCACAGAGCCTTTTGAATGATGCTTTTCTCATCCCTCACCTGCCTGCTGTTTTGCACAGTGCAACTATTCATGCCACTTCACCGACCTGAGTAGCTCCCGGAGAAACCCGGCTGCCGTTTTTCCAGCACGTCTCCAAACTCTCGAAGATATTTTATTCCCAGGGCAAGTTCTGTGCTGGAAAGATCCCAGCCATTTTAGGAACATGCTTTGTCCACTGGCTGTGTAATCCCATTACACACTTCCCCAGCACCTGCAGGCGCTGGTTTGGCATTCATTCTTAAATAGAGCAGAGTCCCTGGGGCCAGGCTGCCTCCCACAGCCTTCACTCACGTGGGGTTCAGCACCGCTGGCTCTACAGCCCCTAACCAGCAATGTGTGTCTTGCAGGCCCGCGGAGAAGGCGATGGAGAAGCTAAGTCACTGTGGTTCAAAGGCGGGTGAGTAAGGGACTCGCTGCTCTCCACACCCTTGGGTCTCTGGGCTGTTCTCCCCTCTCCATTAGGGACAATGGGATTATTAACCCTGCCCTCCATGCGGGGAGTTGGGGGAACCTGTGGGCTCGCGGGATGGCCATGCCAGGGACTAAGTATCCCCAAACCGCGGTGGTGGTGGGGGTCTAGTTTGGGCTGGACGCTGGCAGCTGGATGCCCAGGCAGGCACGTTGGTGCTTTCGGAAGGAGCCAGTGGAGCAGGCAGGAATTGCCCCTGGCTGCCGCTCCATGTCCACACGGGAAGAGCCTGGCCACGAGAGCCTCTGCCGTGGGGGAGAGACGAGGAGGTGAGTGAGTTGGGATGGGACCGAGCCGGGGCAAGCAGCTCCAAGGACTGACTCGCATGGGTTTCCCAGGCAAAACATGATAAGTTTCCTTGAGCAATTCGGAGTGGACTGAAAATCCCACCAAATTGCACTGGGCCCTGGGTTTCTGCAGAGGAAACCTGATTTTCTCGCGGACGATCCCATACTGCCAGGGCTGGAGGCTGTGAAGCAGTACCTCAACCCAAGCCACTCTGCCTCGATTTTCCAAGCAGCCAGGAGAGCTTGAAGCATGGCCCCGGTGTTTCACAGGAAAACCCTGGCTATTTTGCTCTGTGCTGGAAAGCCAAGGCAAAATAAGACAAAGGGGCTATTTTTGCTGCATTTTTACTATCACGCCATTGAAGTTAAACATGGGGAGGATGGCAGTTTTCTGCCCCCCACGGTCTGGAGGCTGATGAGCCACTGGGGCTTTGCTGAGAGGCCCTGGGCACCC